GTTATGTCCCTTAGGTTGTCAATATAGCACAGGTAATAGCACCATTCCTCATTAATACACGCAATCCTCTCAGTTATGCCGTAACAATATTCCTAACCGTATTTCTCCTCCATGTACCGTATTATTATACATATTATACATGTCTATTGTAGCTACACTTGGCATTTCTCTATACCATTATGTGTGGGAAGCGTATTTTAATTATCCTCAATTTTTTTAAAATACCAAAATGTACAAATTTAGAACACTGACGACGAACACCTCTATTAATTACACTAGATCCTAATTCTCATCATGCCATACCATAATTTAATTTTTTTCAAGAAATCACAAATAACAATAATAAATAACACAAAATTTAAAATATCATTCTCGGCAAATTGAGAACGGCAAGAAAGTATTAAAACCCACCTCACAAAAAAGAACTATTAATCTTGAAAGTGCCTGAACTGAAATTTTGATCCTACTTAGAACCTCTAATCATAGACCTTAAATAAGTTTTCAGATGATATAAATAAACGAAAATTTTATACAATTAAGATCCTACTTCAGACATAAAAGCGGTAAATATTTCCATTTCTTCTACTTATAGGGCTAAAGTAGGACTAAATTCGTATTAAATAAAACGTACAAAATCGAAAGTAGGGCGTAAAAACCGAAACGGAACCAAGAGCGAGCTTCCTTAGGTTATCCGGGTTCCAAATACAATAAACAATTATTTTGTTGGGGGTGTCTACGAAATTGCCCGGTGTAATCCCGGCTTAAATCAGACACCATCCCCATGATCTTTACCGTTTACTTGGACGAGCACCCCTAAACGATTCCATTTTCCAAGAGATACCGAAGACCCGTCCAGAGTCGCCATTACACTCGCGGAACATGGATTCGCAAGAGGGAGCCGGATTTATGATTTATGCCCTCACTAGCCCGAGGAAAAGTTCCAAGATATACCCCCCGAAGGGCCTAAAGATTTTCGAGGCCACTCGTGCCAACACAATTTAGTCCCTCCGTCAGTTCCAGCCGTGATGGCGTCCATCCTCGGTCGAGGATCCCACCCCAAGCTTCAGCCTTCCTTCGCCCCTGCCAGCCAGGCGGACGGGAGAGACTTTTTCTCCAAGGGACTCGAAGGGATTGAATCCAATCTAACGCCGCCCACGCACGCACGAAACCAGCCAGCCAACCCAACGTGAAAACTTTCGGGAAACCACGCAACCAGCCGCATTCTTTCCCGCCGAAACCGTGTGTACCAACACACCGGTGCAGGGGGTTACCAGAAGGGAGGCGAAATTAGGTCGTTTCGCGAAAACCTGCCTGAAGGGTTAGGCCAAGCCGTTGGGCAGAACTTCGTGTGGGTGGTATCTTCCTAGAGAAGGTTTTGGAGCACGAGCGAATTTCTAAAAAAAAAACTACAGAGGGTGGTTTTGAAATTTCCATGACTGTTCGAAGGAGAAGTTTGGGAAAGTGCTGAATCCATTCATTCGAAGAAAAGTTTCATAAACGAAACCCCTCAATTTGATATCACCTTAAGTTTTCTAAGATAATTTAATAAATTTCTGAATGCTGTCTAAGAATCACAGCCGAGTTATATGAGGTGAACTTCGCGAGATGGTTTCTTCCTAGAGAAGATTTTGGAGCACGAGTAAATTTCTAAAAAAAAAAGGACCACAAAAGGTAGTTTCGAAATTTCCGTGACTGTTGGAAGATGTCTGTGAAACTGCTGAGTCTCGTCTACCCTAAATCCGAAGCCACCTGGTCTTTTTATTTAATTAATTACCTTAAGATAATTTTGGACTTTTCTGAAAGATGTCTAAGAATTACGGGGGAGGTTGGCTACACGGAAAAAATACATTTCTATTACAGTTACTATAGCGACATTCTTAAAATATTACGATAATTTGAATTACACAAATGATGATCTTGACTCAATCGAATGGTAAACGTAACCTTGCCAATAGTTGCTGAACCCACCGCGCTGAATTAAAAAGTTTCAGGAGGGATTACCATTTGTAATGGTAACATTAACTATGCAAAGTATGTCTGTTATGATAAGTATAATGTTACAACTCGTACCTTGTAGTTACCTTTACTAAACAAATAGTAATCCTTACTTCGGCTTTATACTATGTAATATCCAGTACATGGTACCTTACAGTAAGTTACGCTAGTTGCCACAATCTTTTGCCAAGGTTATCGCATATGTTGTTTTGCAAAATATTTACGGTTATCACAATTGTGGTTTTTCTAGCCATTCTCTTTTTTCGTGCGAATTCGGTCGATCTTCGCGGGAACCTATATAAAGGGTTTCAGTAAAGCACAAGAGGGCGAATTTCGCGAGGGTGCTCTCATTATGGGGTGCCCTTCGGAAATCCTTCTCATTCCGCTGTAGTTCGAGCGACCCTCCGAAACAAAGTGAAGTATAAAAAGGATCATTTTGGAAATTGTGCGACTTTTGTTGAGAAGCCTCAGAAATTGCCCAGTCTTCCCTGTCATAAATCTGGCTCTGGTACCACGGTCCCTTCCGTTTAATGGAACACTCCGTAATAACACCGTACATTTCTGAAGGACGCCTAAGAATCATGATAAAGGGAGCAAAATTAGGTCGTCGATCTGCAGGAATATACGTAAAGGGTTGTGTCAAAGAGCAAGGAGGTGAATTTCGCACGAGCGGTATTTTAGGGGGTGTCCTTCGCTCACCACCTTCTCCTTATAGAACCTCTCTACGTACGTTGAGTAAGACGACGGTGCGTAATTCTATTGGCTCCAATTTGCATAATTGAGCACTTAATCCATGCCCGATTCTATTTCGCACATTTAAAATATTTAGGATATTACCGCGCTCTTTTCAAGATCCACTTTCTGGACAGAATTTATAGCTGACCTACGTTCGATTCTTCGCTCCCTGCTCATTTATTTTAATGCCTAAAAAGGTCTGTTTCCTAATCTCCGAAGTTTGTCATTTAAATTGCACCTCCGAAAGTATCCTTATAATTAATTTCAATAAATTTTAAAACGTGAAACCTACACTGCTCGGCGACCTCGCGAAATTTCCAAATTTTCAACTTCATTTCCTCGAAATATGTTCTTTAGATTAAATTACACCTATTTCCATCTGATATGTCAATAATAATTTCAAGTATGGATGAACGTTTAGTAAAGATTAAGCAGAGCATATCTATACAACTGTAAAAAATCATGTATTCATACCGTCTACGTGATCTGATTACGCGAATTATTGTAAACCACCAGTGACGTGGGAAAGGGCCATCGAGAGCGTCGATAACTAATTAAATTTCGAGGTATGGCGCGTCGTACTTGAATTAAATCGAGGCACGGAATGCTCGATATTTTCCAACATGAACTCGGTACCCTCGATAAAAGTGGCGCGCGTTTAACGATGCACCTACACATCATCCATAATAAATTGTGTACTAATAAATTGTTCCTCGAGAAGTGCTTCGCGATAGGTGTTTAACAATAAATTGTCTTGCGATAAACCTTCCACGATAAAGTGTTCTGATACCAGATTGCCGAGCTGCGCCACTCGCACTTCGACCAAACGCGAAACCAGGAAGAAAATCTCGAAATAAAATCTAGCCTTGAAATTTCTATTCAAGGACCACCTCCCTAACCTTCCTCAAGACCATTCCAAAAACAATCCGATCTTTCACCTCTAATTAACTGATTTCACTCTCGCGTTACAGGCAATAATCTTCGATTTCCATTTCACAGAAAATCGACTAATCGCATCTGTTCAATACAAATTAATTTTCAAATTTTCAACAAACTAATACATATGGAAATCGAAGAATTCATTTACTGATTAGTAACAAAGAAACGGTGAAGTGACCGCTAATCGTGACTATTATAGCAACAATAGGTACGGTATAAATAATTCAGGAAACTTGACTCTAAAATAATCTGTACATTACGTGCCTTTCCGCCAATATTTTACGTGACGATCTCATTCTCATCTTCGTGTTTCTTTTTCAAGTCGTCAACGTAGTCGTATTTTGTTTTCCGCATCCCGCGTTACATGACGTGCTTTATACATTTCCTGTTTTATCACACGTAACACGGATGGTGCGGTACAAAAGCGAATTCCGCTCTTTAGGGCTGTATGTTTTATCACGATATCACAGAGTTTATTGCTGCGTATAACGCAAGGTCTTCAAAGCTTGAAACCTCAACTCGTTACAGAAATAAAGCTTTCCGCGTTCGCAGAGAGCCAAACGAACCAAAAGCCATTACGTGTCGATGATCGACTGCAAATATTAACAAAATGAAGAGAGGTACGAAAGGTTCTCCCTAATAACGTGGAACCATAACACAATTTTCTACTTAAAAGGTTTAAAGCTATTTGCACAGGACATTCGGAAAAAATCATTTGTAATGCCAACATACAAATGATTTCTAACTACCTCTGATAATTTCAATAGACTTATATTCTAGCGCATCTCGGGCCACCAATCTATCATTATCGTACAAAAATGATTGCTTTTGCGTTACTAGAAATCCAAACAACCTGATTCGAAAATTTCTTTCATATCCCGCATCAATCTGAAATCGCTAAATATTCTACCCCTATTGTCTTACACATGTTACTACAAAGGGATAATTGTTCGCTACAGAAGTACGGTACCGCGACTCGTGAAAATTATCGATCCTATCACAACTTCCTCCCTATTCGACCGAAATGTTGTAACACTTTCCACGATCGAGGTAAGCGCAAGTAAGAGGATTTCCAAACCACGACCATAACATACGTAAGTAGTTTACGGAACTATGTAAAATTAATTTAATCCAATTTTTACCCATCGTTGCTACGTTATGGACCATGTGATAAATCGGGCAATGCCTGCAATTCCCGGGCATTGTGCAGATTGCCCAATTTATCAAATTGCTCGTAACAACTATACACGGTGTTAGAAAAATGGTGGACACGATTTACCCAACGGTATTCTTGTCTAAAATTAAATCGAAAAGTCCTGTACTATTTTTACCTGCAGTCCATTGTTTGCCTGTGTAGACGGACGGCGGGTACGAAGACGGATAGAGGGAGATCGAGGAGCTCCGCCTTGGTTGAATGCCGGATCTGGATTGCGTTACTCAAAACAAAATTCCTTCGCTAGGACCCAAAGACATCCCCCTTCCGCCCCTCCTGACCTCCAAGGAAGCCATGGCCGCGACTTCGGCCGGCAAGGGTCCACGCCTGAGTAATTAATTGGGAAATAGTAAACAAGCCTCGTCGATTTACTGAACGCGATTCGAAGGACTCGACGTATGTTTTCTAGTCTGCACGCCGCAAACATCAAAGCACGGCTGATACACGTGAAATATAGAGCTTATATGAATGGAAGGGACGTAGGTAAGGAAGGGGGGGTTTAGGAGGAAATTAGAGAGGAAATTAATCCCTTATCCCTTTACGTACCGAAAATTCCTACTGCGCAAGTGTAGCATATACTGTAGCATGTTGTTGTGGCGGCCCTACTTTACGTAAACACAAAAAGACTACAAAAGAAATGAGAAGAAAAAATGCACCAAATTAATATTTATTAAAAATAAATACATTTCGCAATGATAAATCATTTTCTTGGCACGTTTTTTTACCATTCACCCTGCCGCTTGAATTTCGTGTATCAAGGATTCCTCTGCGCGCGCAGCATACTTTCGGTATCATTTAGAGAGAGAAGGTCCTTTTCTCTGCACAGGCAACGACTCTTCTCGTTAGCGAATTATCAGACATTACGGATTTCGAGTCGGACTTCCAAATCGACATTACGGAATTGTTCAGGACTCCGTCCTCCGTATTTTCTCGCGATCGGTCCTTACCTTATTTCGGAAAGCAACGAGCATTTAACATCGCGTTCTCAGAACTCGTTGAGCCGCTGCTCGTTAGAGCTGGTGGAAATAGGATATCCCGGAAACGCGAGCTCTTCGCAGCCATTGTACCATCCGAGTTGAAGTGCCCTCGGATGATCCCATTCGCGGTGGGATCGAATAATGCATTAATTTTAGCGGAATAAGTGAGGTCGCTCTCGGTCGTAACGACCAATCGTCCGGCGGCGGAAGAGGGACGCGCCTCCCTCTCGGTGTAATTAAAACTCGCGCCGCTCCGGTGGCCATTAAAGGGATATAAGGCGCAATTAGAAGGAGGCTAGAGGCGAAGCCGTGAAAAGGGGATAGGGCCACTGGTCGCGGTTTAGCAGTTCCAAAGAGCAAAAACCGAAGCGGGGCGTCGTTCGCCCCCTAAGTGGCTGGTTAACCCAGATCGTCGAGGGCGCCCTATATACATTATGCGGCGAACATATATCAAATCGTAAAATCCACTGGCTCGTTGCCCGGTTTCGAAAGGTTTTGATGGTTCGCCAGCGCGTGCAGTAATAAACCTTTACGAGCCGGAGAACAGGTGCGGAGTGATATTGCATTACAAATCCTCCTGTACTTCCGCGGCTCCTTCGGCCTCGCATTATTCCCCTAGGACACGTCCACGGCCCGGCGAATTCAAGGAGACTTTCCTCCCGCCAGGGCGCCGTATCCCGCGGAAGTAATTTGTGGAAATTGTTTCGATGTAGGCCAACTGATGAAGTTCTTCAATGTGCTACGAGACGGGGACTCCCCTCGTCGCCAAACGGAAAGCGATCCGCGTTAGACAGGTACTTGTGCATCCCGCGACTGCGTTCTCGGGTATTATTCTGCTGGAATCCCGCTCCTTGAGGAAATCGTTGCTGGATATTGTCTCGATGCAGGACACGAGGATGGTTCCTACAAGTTTGAGATGAACCCGCCGAGTCGCCATTAGTGCGAAGATCTATACAAGGAGCCCCCCCATTCTGACGATCAACGGGAGCATACCATTTTCAGGGATATTAAGGCGTGATTTAATACTTGCGACCAAGTTTGGAGAGAAAATGAACGAAGGGAGATACCTCGTATTATTAATTTCGGAACACAACGTAATTACCCACTTTTCAACGTGAACTGATCTTTCCTTAGAAATTGTTTCAATGCTGCTCCCTCCGACATGGTAAAGGAAACGTCCTGATTTCGAACAGTGGTTTGCAATTCATAACTGGGGATGAATGGGTGTTATCATATGGAAGAGGTCGCGAAGTGAATCTGAAGATGTGAAAGGTGAATTACTGGAATCACGTGAGGTTTGACTTGACGATGATCGTCTTAGTTATAATCAGTGGATTCGTTAGGAATGATGCGACTTCTGCGAGATGAAACTCCAAAACGAGGGAGCTTCCCTTGGGGATCTCAAATTATAATTTCTACAAAACTCCAGAATGTAGGATTCCTCCAAAACGACGGATAGATCGCACAAGTGGCTCGGGACAAAGGGCATAATTAGCGAATCTTGGGAATCATCCTCGTGCGTGTCCTGGTTCCTGGAGACCTAAACTCGTTTGTTCGATTTCGCATCAAAGGCAATTCGCGGATCCCAGGCGAAAGCCCTTGATGCCGGTTATGCTAATGCGCAAATACTCTCTCTGCAACCTCCACAGCCTCTGCAATTAAACCACGCAGGCAAAGGGAAATCATGGAACCTTTGGGAAACAATGGAGATACATACACTTACGGATCGGGTAGAAGTCAGCCTCCAATTCAACGAATAGAAACCCTTCTGAGATATGGTTTGTGTTCTTCATTCCGGCGTTCGCATTCGCGTATCAATCAAGACGGGGAAATTGCGGTAAAAGTATACCAGTATTCGATTTCCGAGAATGTAAGTGATAAATCTTCGAGAATTCGAGGTCTTGTTAGACCAGTTCAATTCCTCCACCTCTGAATACACTCGCATATAACTACAGCTGTGAAACCCAGTTTTCCTGCAACTCTTATATAGAGGAAACAAAATTTATTCAACCAAAGAAGTATTTCTTTGAATAGTACCAAAGATATCACCTTATTAATACAAAGAATAATTATTTGACTCGAATAAATTCAAATAAATTGTCATAATTCCGAATAAATGTAGCGTCCAGTTTATTCGAGGTTATTTGAGTCAAATCATTATTCTTTGAATGAACGAAATGTTTCTTTGCTTGAATGAGATTTTCTCCTACGTGTACGAGATAACTTTGTAACCAAAAACCAAAGTAAATAACATTAATCTTTTTTTATATAACATCTCTTCATTCACCAGTGGAGCATCGGGTAAACAGCACGCATTTCCCTTACTTTCTGCAAAAACGTTGAATACCTGTTTGCATGCCATGGATGTAGGATATATGGGATTGCACCCTAATCTGGCAATGTATATAGCAGAAATGAAAGAGAGAAAAAACATGGAGGCTGTTTTCTCACCCTTACCCTCTCTCTCTTCTTACGTGAAACGGCAACAAACCCTGAGGTCTATGATATACGTTCATCTTTTTCCAATAAAATAACTCATTTTGGACGTGTCCGGTTTTACAGACTTACTCGTCATTACACCTTGCTCGCGAAAAACATCGCGGCACTTAGAAATAAAAATCGTGCAAATCAGAGACTAGTATGCATCGTTTGGAATAACGCTAAGAGATGTCAATTCAATTTCGGTGGAAGAAATACTTGTACTTATCGAGATATGGTCATGGTTTTCTTTCGTTATGCCGAACCATGCATGTAGATATCAGATGTGTGCAGAATACTGATTTTCAGATATTTCAATTCTCTGTTAACAGGGTAATTGTATAAAGGTACACGATTGGAATCAGTGTTTCACTTGAATATCCGGTACTCCGGATATACAGGTAACGTCAAGACGGGCAATCGGAATTTCCTCAATTTAACCGAACTGTTTCACCTGTCCGATCATCTTGCAGGGGGGTCTCAGGGAGTACACCGGGCCAAATTCAGGAAACTAGATTCTGGAAGCAGTTAAACCAACGGTAACTGGCAAATGAAGCTGCGAGCACTGACTCGGGTGCAAATGGCTGTACAGTCGAGACTCCCTGTAAGCCTTTGTCGAGCATTGCACGTTTCACCTCGATGATTGTGCCTTTTCAATCGCGAGATCGCTCGGGGAAAAGGAGTTCAATTTAAACAAGCCCTGATGTATAATGCATCTCCCGACTCTAAGAAAGTTGTTCCCAATACCCGTGCTCCCTCTTTCCGTCTGAGAGCCCAATAAAACGCAAATAAAATCAAACTCCGAGAGGTTAATAAGCGAAATGCAGGTTTTATACATCGCATGGGAGGCATCTCGCAGAAGTAAAGTCGAAACCTGGATGAAACTTATGACCATTGCAGCGATGCAATAATGCATTTTAATGGTTGCAATGAAAAGGAAAATATCCCTGCTCGATCTCTCCGATTTGATTTCTTTTATAATATGTTATAGTAGACTAAAAACTAAGCGACACGTGTTTTTTTTTATCTGCCATTAAACACTTTAATGGGGTAAAACCACCATTCAAAGTAAGGCATGTCAAGGGGCGATTTGGTAGTTTCACCCACAAGAACATAATATTTTTCATTTCTCATTATGAGAAAGCTATTCCAGTTAGATTGGTTAAAAAATATTATGTTCTTGTGGGTGAAACTGCCAAATCGCCCTTTGACATGCCTTACTTTGGATGGTGGTTTCATCCCCTTAAAGTGTTTAATGGCAGATGAAATAAATACGTGTCGCTTAGTTTTTAGTCTACTATAACATATTATAAAAGAAATGAAATCGGAAAAGACGACCTGGGATACCTTCCTTGTGAGTACAAAAAAAAAGTATTTTGCCCAGAACATGCCATCTAACCCTAGACCTTGTGTATATTATTTTTTCTAGCCCCTAACTCGTGACTTGGGTAGATATCCACCCAGCTTGTTTCTCGTTGACAAAATGTATCCTATCAACAGTAAATTGGAATGCTGATAAATGAACCTCTTCAGTTTTTGACAAGAAAGTGAATGGTGAGTAGTTAATTCAATTGTATTCAACTTTCATTGACGAAAGCTCCATTTAAAGGTCGATAAACATAAAAAATGGTCTGCCTAGGAGGGAAGTTTGAAAACCTATTGAAGTGGGTTTATGAGAGTTCATTCATGAGTTCTAGGGTTAATAGTGTTGCTAGAAATAAATATAACACTGATAA